TGCTCTATCCACTGCACCACCTAGCTGCCCCCCCAAGCACTCTTTTCAACCTTGGAACCGTGACTACGGTCCCTGCTCCCTTGTGGCTGCAAGCTGTACTACGCCAGTACTCCTCCTCACACTAGGCCTACGACCCAGGACTGCGACCCAGATCCAAATATAGGCAACGCAACGGAGTCCTGCCTCACTGCTAGCAAAGGGACCCCTGTAAATCTCCTTCTGACCTGATGTCTGATCCCCTCACCACCTGTGAGCTGAAAGGCCTGGAAACCACCACTGCCACTGCTGATTTTGTCACACTGAGGCCTGCTCTTGGTCTGCCAGGGCCCAGGCTGCGCCGGTGCAGCTTGTGCTGGACTATGCTCCTCTCTCACCCTGGTGCAACAGACCTTTCCTGTGAACCGTCTAAGTTGTCTTAGGCTGGAAAACTGTTTCCCTCCACCTTTGTGTGAGTTCTGTTACTCTAGAATTTGTTTCAAGTCATTATTTAAAGGTATTTGGAGAGGTTTGGAGGAGAGATCAGGCAAGTCTCTGCCTCTGCTCTGCCATCTTGGCTCTGCCTCCCAAAACAGACTACTAATGAGGGAACAGAGAAAAAAAGAGAAGGAAAAGTGTAAGAGAACAGGATGACAGGAAATAATAAAATTACCAATCTTAACCATAAATATAAATGGGATCAATGCACCCATAAAATGGAAGAAGAGATCAGACTGGATTAGAAACCAGAATCCAACAATACGTTGTTTACAAGAAACACACTTGAAACAGAAAGATACACCGAGTTAAAATAAAGGACTAGAGCAGCATCTGTTATGTATCAGCTGAAGTAAAAAAATGGCAGAGATAACAGTCATGCTCTCAGATAAAACAAAAGCAAAAATAGACTTAATTAAAACAGATAAAGAGAAACTACATTTTGCTAACAGGTACTCCAGACAATGAATTAATATCAGTATTGAATATATGTGCTCCAAATGGAATAGCATCTAAATTTATAAAGGAAAAGTTAAATAAGTTCCGGGAGGAAACTGACAATAAAAGTATAATATGAAAGGAACTCAATTTACCCCTTTCAGATCTAGATAAATATGACCATAAAATAAACAAGAAAGAAATAGATGAACAGAATTTTAGAAAAGTTAGATATGACAGACCTCTGAGGAATGCTGAAAGAGAACAGAAGTATACCTATTTCTCATCTGTACCTGGCCTCCTTTACAAAAACTGACTATGTATTAGGGCAGAAAAAACTCATAAACAAATGCAGAAGAGCAGAAATACTGAATGAATCTTTTTCTGACCACAATACAGTAAAAATTATATTCAAAAAAGACCTTTGAAGAAAACATTAAAAATTGGAAATTAATTTAATAATGAAGAATGGATTTGTAAAAGAATAAATCACAGAAATAATAATTTCATTAAAGATAATGACAACAATAAGACAGCAGATCAAAATTTATAGGATGCAGTCAAAACAGTACTTAAGGGAAAATGTATCTCTCTAAACTCTTTCATCCAAAGAGAAAGAGCAGATCAACAAACAGACATGCAATTGAAAAACCTAAAAAACCCAACAAATTAAAAACCTCCAATTAAATATCAAAGTTGAAATCCTAAAAATCAAATGAGAGACGGAAAAAAGTGAAAGTAAAAAAAAACTGAACTAATAAAGGTAGGAATTGATTTTTTTAAATTTCATTAATTTATTTTGATTTATCAATAATCACTTCCATACACTTTTGAATTTAAAATTTTTCTCCCCCTTCCTCCCCACCACCCTCCCCAAGATGGAGCACAATCTGATACAGGCTATACATTTACATTCCTATTAAACATATTTTCACATTAGTGGTGTTGTAAGTAAAAATTAAAACCAATAGGAGGAACCATCAGAAAGAGGAAACAAAATTCAACAGAAGAGAAAAAAACAGCAATTCAACTTTCATAGTTCTTTCTTTGGATGTGGATAGCATTTTCCATCATGAGGCCTCTGACATGTCTTAGATCCTTGTACTACCGGGAACGGTTAAGTTTATCAATATTAGTTATCGCACAACGTGGCTGTTATTGTGTACAACATTCTCTTGGTTCTGCTCATTTCACTCAGCATCAGACCATACAAGTCTTTCCAGGTTTTTCTGAAGTCAGCCGGTTCATCATTTCTTATAGCACAATAGTATTCCATTACAATCATATACCACAACTTGCTCTGCCATTCCCCAACTGATAGGCATCCTCTCAATTTCCAGAAATTGATTTTTTTTTTAAAAATAAAATAAAATAGACAAGCCATTAGCTAAATGGAGTTTAAAAAGAAAGGAGGAAGACAACCAAATTACCTCTATCAAAAATGAAAAAAGTGAATTCCCAACCAATCAGATTGGCTAACATGACAAAAAAGGAAAATGACAAAGGGCTGGAAGGGCTATGGGAAAACAAGCATACTAATGTACTACTTACTGGTGGAGCTGTGAGCTAGTTTAACCATTCCAGAAAGCAGTTAGGAACTATGCCCAAAAAGCTATTAAACTGTGTATACTCCTTGACCTAGCAATTCTACTACTAGGGCTATACCCCAAAAAAGATCAAAGGAAAAGGAAAAGAACCAAAATATACAAAAATATGTACAGCAGCTCTTTTTGCAGTAGCAAAGAATTAGAAACTGAGAGGATGCCCATCAACTGGAGAACGGAAGAACAAGCTATGATATATGAATGTGATAGAACACTACTGAGCAGAAATGCTGAAGGAGATGGTTACTGATGCAAAGTGAAGTGAGTAGAAATAGAACGCTTTATACAATAACTCTAATACTGTAATGAAAATCAACTGCGAAACTTAGTAACTCTGATGAACACAATGACTAATGATAATGCCAAAGGACTCATGATGAAATATGTTACTTACCTCCAGATAGAGAGCTGACAGATTCAGAGTGCAGATTGAAGCACATTTTCTTCTCTTTCTTTTTCTCTATTTTTTTTGGCAGGGAGGGAAAGGGAACATGGCTAATGAGGGAATTCATTTTGTATGACTATACATATTTGTAATGGGGTTTTTTTTCTTGCTTTTTTCAGGGAGGGAGAATGGAAGAGAAAGGGAGTTAATTCAGTACTGAAAATAAAACTGAATTGAATTTTTTAAAAGGACTGCTCCTCCACAAAATCCTTCTCCCCTTCCACGGTGTGGTGTGGAGATGATTCATTCTTAAAGGCTACCCAGGCAGAGCAAAATCTCTGGCAAGTTTTACTACGCTAGAAAGACTCTGAGAATAAGCTCAATGATGGAATGTTATCCAAAGACCAACCCAGAGAGTTGGGCTTGTTTAGATGGGCTCATTACCCATATGGCACAAGCACAAGGTGAGACATCTTATGACCATGGCAACTCATCAAACAATCTACTAAGGCATGTTGGGACATCACCAAAGTCACAGAGCTTTTGAAGTAATAAAGAAGTATCCTATGACTAAGTGGGTGCCCATCAACTGGGAAATGGCTAAAAAAGTTGTGGTACATGAACATAATAGAATATTCTTGTGTCATAGTAAGTAACAAACATGAGGAATTCAGGGAAACATGGGAAAACCTGTATTAACTGATGCAGAGTGAAGTAAACAACACCAGGGTGACAATATACACAACTACAGAATATAAATAAAAAGAATGTTAAAATGAAGTCAAATGTCCAATCATTCTAACAACCAATCTTTGCCTCAGAGATGAGGCCATGGATTCCTCTTCCTTTCTCAGAGATATGGAGGACCAAGCGTGTAGAATGTTGCATACACTATCAGATTGGTCTTCATAATAATTAGTTTTGAATAACTGTCTTTGTTACAAGGGAAGGCTCACAGGATGGAGGGGTGGGGGGAAAATATATCCAGGAATGATTATGATGTAAAAATAAAAGACATCAATTAAATTTATTAAAGTGTATCAGTGGTCCAGAGAGACAATTGGTGAACTCTAAGTGCAGACTGACGTATATTTTTTTCACTCTTTTTCTTTTGTTTTTTGCTACATGGTTTATGTGGAAATATGTTTTGCATGACTTCATAAGGATAATGGGTATCATGTTGTTCGTCTTCTCAATGGATGGGAGAAGGAAGGGAAAGAATTTAGAACTAAAAGTTTAAGAACAAATGTTATACTATAAAAATAAAAAATAAAGGAAGAAATAATAAAACAAAGTGCATAGGATGGGAGATTAATTGAATCAATCAATTAATCAGTCCAAATTTATATAACTAACAAATACTCTAGCCCTGGTACCTTCATCAAGTAAACATGCATACCTTGGTCAATTTGGAACATGTGAAGGCCACTAGACGAAGTGAGGTAATTTTATACTGGAATTGTATTGGGATCAGCTAAGAAGAATCAGGCGTGCCTTGTGGGGCTTACACATAATAGCAAATTAGTTTAGATCCTAGAATTTGAGTGGCTGGCCTGGTGAGTGGTAGGAGCCATTCCAGTCCTCAAAGAATATAAGATGAAATCAGACTTGAGAAGAAGATTTCAGATGTGAAAAGTTACCCCCACTCTAATCATATAATAATACAAGTATTATCCTGTATTTTGCTGAGGCCAAGAACAATGAAAATAACTATAAAGAGAAGAAGTACATACTTAGCGGAAGTTTTAAAGACCTATTTTTTTTCCATCTTACTAAAGTGTTTGTTACTTGTGCTTTGGTTAACACATCTATATTAGTTACAAAACTTGGGCTTACCATGTAAATTCTGTATTATCACAAAACTAGCTTTCCTGACATCTTGAAAGATTCAATTCAATTCAGAAACATTTTTTGAGACCCCACAATGTGCAAGACACTGTGCTAAACAGTAGAGATGAGAATATGAAATTAGACAAGATCCTTGTCTTAAAGAAGCATACATTCTTATAATAAATAAGATAGATGAAAGTAGATTTCCAAGTGTAGGATTTTATATCTCTTAGAAAGGGGACTTTACTAAAATCAGCCTCTCTACTTACCTTGTATTTAGTAGCAGTTGGAGTATTCAATATGGTTGGATGATAAATGTTTGATTCTTTAGTGTTGGCATAATTACCAGACTTTTTTAAGAAATTATCAAAATTATTCTCATTGGGGAATTCAGGAGTAATAAAGGATAATTCAGCTTTGTCTGTTGTGAAAAAAAGCATGTTGGTCAAGGTCAACATAAAAGCTTTTCAAGAATATACCTTCAAACAGAATTAAGACTAATAAAAGAAATATATCCATTTGAAATACACCACCAGATTAAATCCAGCTATCTCCATGGAGCTGTCTTCCATACCTCTGTCACTTCATTTCCACGAGACTTGGTTTCCTCCTCTGCAAAATGAGGAGTCTACACTATATGATCTGCAAGGCCCCTTGCAACTCTGGCATACATTCTATTGTTCTACCTGCTTGAATCAAGGCAAGTCCATGAGCCAGCTGGCTGGATATACTCCTTACCACAATATAGAGAAAAATCTAATATGGCTCCTGTGCAATGGAGCCATGTACAAAAATCATTTAAGGTCAGCTCTGTTCTCCAACCTATAGGTTGGATCAATAAACCACCTTAAGTTTGTGTGGGTATAAAAGAATTCATTTTTTGCCTCTCATGCAGGAAAACAGGGAGAGATTACTCCCCTCACCTCATAACCAATTTAAAAAAGAGGCAATTGAGGGTAATTCTTCTGTGTCTTACAAACCAGAAGAAGGAAAACGAGCTGTGTGTATCCCTGAATATGTCGGAGGGCAGAAAAATGATTCACATGCTATTATTTCCTGTTATAAGTTACAAATCAGTAACTTACATTCTTGCTTTCTCTTAATTATAAAGGAAAGGTGAATCAAAATATTAGCATCATTCTGATAAAAACAATGAACTACATAGTTGAAAAATATTTTTAGTAGATAGGCAGTGCCATAAATGAATATTCCTGGTCTCTCTAATCTCTCCAGTCTTAGTGGCACTTTCCAGTACCTGTTCTCTGCATATGGACCTTGATACGCCTTGATCAACACTAAATGAACTGATAAAAATAAACACTGTTTTTATGCAAATCTCCTCAATAAAAATAAAAAGCGGAAAAAGGAAACAGGAACTAGAGCCACTATTTAAAGCTGTACCATTACAACAAAGAGGAAGTCAAATTAAAAAAGACATTCAGAAAAAAAAAACCATCCTGATAGCTTGGTATACTACAAATTAGGAAAACATAAACACAATTACTTCAAAAGAAAAGCCATTAACATGCAATCATGTTGAGTTCCTTGAGGAGATTTGCAAAGGACACTCTGAAGACGAAGAAAAACTCCCTTGTACTCTAGCTGTACCACAAAGAGGGTCACACTACTTGGATCCTGAATCCAAGCTTTATTCTTGCCACAAAAGAAGTATAAAGGAAACTTTTCCCCTGTGTCTTAACTAAATACACCTTTCATCAGATACTTACAGTTGAGAGTATAGAGGCAGAAAAGAGATGGATTTGTTTGGTCTGCTAAGTAAAATAGTCTTTCAGGGGGATGCGCTGTAAAATTCATTTCATATACGGCTATCTTCTGAAAGCATAACTTCCTGTCACTTCTGAAAACAAAAAAAAAAGGTTTTAAAGTCTACAACATGGACAATTTTGGCAAGACTAGTTTAAAACTGTCAGATGGATGTAGTTACTAGGTTAGCAGCTCTACTGAGACTATTGTGAAAATACGAAATAGATCCATTGTTATCAAGCTTATTCACTGTTAAAAGGTCTGACATTTTTAATTCTATCTTTCCTATAATGAAAGAAAAAACCTGGACAAGTATAACCACCAAGAAATTTAGTACAATATGAAACAGTCCAGAGCATCGTGATACAAGTGAGCATTAACAACCAAGGTAAAATTAATGGGAAAACAGTCCATGGAGGTTTGGATTACAAAACAATTTTGCTTGTAACTATGATACTAGGAATGATTCAAGAATTTCTAGTTTGCTGAATTAAGGTATGAATCAAGGACTATAAGAATACATCATGTGGAATAAAAAAAAATGGATCTGTCTGAAGTTATCTGATCATTTTTGGTGCTTATAAATCATAGCATAGCCAAGCATACAGCCCATGGAGGAAGTGACAGATGGCAATCAACTTGACAGATGGATGGACCAAATAATGAAGTCAGGAAGATGCAGAAATAGAGGGCTGGGTAGTTAACAGAAAAGTGAGGAAAATGATGCTAGGAGGAGTCATGAAAAGACATCTAGCAGAGTAGCTAATGATGATACTGACAAATGAGGACTAGAGCAGAGAGTGACAACTGAAAGCAGAATGTAAACAGACAACAAAGAGAGACAGCAGAGACCTATTAAGAGTAAGGAAAATCATCTGATCAATCCATTCATGTTTATTCGGTTGCTGCTGTGTGCAAACCCTATGCTAGATACTGTTGTGGATGGAACAGAACATGATGCAGGAGCTTACAATCGAGAGAAAGAGATAAAACACACACATATAAAAGGATAACTCACGATACAAGGAAGCAAATGATAGCTGCCAAAAGAGTGGTGCACAGAACAGGAACTAGGACTCAGGCAGAAGACATTACTTTCAAGTAGGCTGATCAGAGGGGAAAGGGAGCCTAGCTAGTGTGTGAAGGATTGAGAAGGTGCAGGAGAGCAGGAAAGTCATCCTAGAGAGGTGGAGAGAAGAGAGAGAACAAAGGTGCGGAGGTAGGGCTGTAGGAGCACAATTTGTAAACGGAACAGTCTACAGATAAAATAAGGTCAGATCATGAGGAGCCTTGAATATCAGGCTAAGGAGTCTGAATTTTATTCTAAAGCAGGCCTGCACGACATACAGCCCGCAGGCTATTTGTGGCCTGCCAAAGTATTCCGGGCCACCCGAGAAAAATGTAGGGTTGCCACTGCACACTCTCCTGTTTGTTACAGGACCCATGGCAATCAACCACCATCAGTCTGTCTCTAGTCTAAGCTATCAGTAGCCGAAGAAGTTTAGTCTGTTTTAATTTTAGCCCCTACCTACTGCCAAGTTGTGTAGGTCTGTCTAAAAGGCAATCAAAAACCATCCAGGATTTCTAGACAGGAAAATGACACAACAGATGCAGAGCTTAGGAAGGTTAATCTGGTGACGGTTCATGCGATAGGCTGGAATGGAGAAAGAACAGGGGCAGAGACCCCAGTGAGGGGGCTGTTACAGTGGTGCAACAATGCAATGATAAAGGTCTGACCTAAGAGAGTCACTGTGAAAACAAAAATAGAAAGGATAGTTCTGTAAAACATCACTGATGAGAGAGATTTTGTGCCAAACTGAACATGAAGGAAGGAGAGGGGAAAGAAGGAAGAGTTAGAAATGACATCAACCAAGGCTCCTAGCACCCCCACCCACCCCACCATGGGGGTGAATGATAGCACTACTGACAACAATCAGCAAGTAGGAGGGAGAGCTTGTTTTGAGGGAAAGGTACTATGATCAGTTGCTGACATACTTTCTTAAGTCTTCACCACCTTTTTTAAGTTCATGAAAGGTTAAATATAGTAAACCTTTGGCTAAGAGGAACCTAACTAACCAGAACACTCACTTACTGGTATTATTCTTTTTTTCCCCAGGTGGAGGTAGTGGTATAAGCAAAGATACTGAAGTAGGAATATGCAAAGCATGCTTTTGGGGGCAGTAAGAGTTTTTTCATTCTTCCAACAATCCCACCCTCCCACTGCCACATAACATTCCACTTTCAGGAGAAAGAGGAAACAGGCCAAGTTTCTATCCCAAAGAACGTTCAAATTACCCAATAATTCTGCTCATTTCACACACCAGCAAGGTTATGCTTAAGATTCTGCGAGCTAGGCTTCAGTTACATGTGAACCGAGAGGTACCAGAAGAGCAGGCTTGTTTTCAAACAGACAGAGGCACTAGTGACCAAATTACCAATATTCACTGGATTATGAAGAAAGCAAGGGAGTTCCAGAAAAAACATCTACTTCTACTTCATTGACTATACTAAAGCCTCTGACTGTGTGGATCACAACAAAATATGGCAAGTCCTCAAAGAGATGGGAATACCAGATCATTTTACTTGTTTCCTGAGAAACCTAACTGCAGTTAGAATCAAACACAGAACAACTAATTGGTTTAATATTTGAGGAGTATGACAAGACTGCATATTGTCACCTTATTTGTTTTACTTATATACAAAGTATATCATGTGAAATGTCAGGCTGGATGAATCAAAAGCCAGAATTATGGTTACTGGGAGAAATATTAATAATCTCAGATATGCAGACAATACCACTCTGATGGCAGAAAGTGAAAGGGAATTAAGAAGATTCCTGATGAGAGTGAAAAAGGAAAGAGTAAAAGCTGGGAGAGAGTAAAAGCTGGCTTGAAGCTTAACATAAAAAAAAAAAAAACTAAGATACTGGCAACTGGTCCCATCACCTCTAGGCAAATAGAGGGAAAAGGAATGGAAGCAGGGTTGGATTTGATATTCTAGAGCTCAAAGATGACTGCAGACAGTGATGGCAGCCATGAAATTAAAAGACGCTTGCTGTTTGAAAGGAAAGCTATGGCAAATCTGGACAACACGCTAAAAGGCAGAGCTATCACCTTGCAGAGAAAACTATGGTTTTTCCAGTAGCAATGTATGTCTGTGAGAGTTGGACTTGGAAGAAAGGCCAAGCACCGCCAAATTGACACTTTTGAATTGTGGTGCTGGAGACTTCTGAGAATCCCTTGGATGGCAAAAAGGTCAAATCAGTCAATACTTAAATTAATTCAGGCTTTTCACTGCAAGGTCAAACACTGAGGCTGAAACTTAAATACTTTGGCCACACAATGAAAAGATGAGACTCACTGATATTGGGAAAGATTGAAAGCAAAAGGAAAAGGGGATGGCAGAAAACAAGATGAATAAACAGTAACATGGAAACAACAAACATGAATTTGGACAGACTTCAGCAGACAGTAGAGAATAAAAGGGCCTGGTGTGATATGGTCTATGGAGTCATGAAGAGTCAGACACAAATATACAACAAAAACAACAACAGATATCTTAATTTAGCAACAGTAACAGACACTTTTTCAGTTAATTTTCCATTAACAAGAAAATGAAAATGAACCATAGCATCCCATCCCCCTAACTTTCTGCTCATCTGAGGTTTCGTGTTTTAGAATTGCTAAAAATGGGACAAAGTCCCATTCTGACAAGGAGTCTTGAGTTCTTAAAGACTATGTCAGGAGAGCAAAAGCTCTGGTAGGTTCTCCCAAACTAGAAACACTTTGAGTATGGCCTAGCCACAGACTGATTCTACTATTAAGGATCAGCCTATTTAGGAAGGGGGAGATCTCATCACCAGTAGATTAGCCACTTGGTGATTAATTCTTTGACCAAGGCAACTCATCAAAATGGAAAATACAAAATGGTGCTCAATCTTTCCACTTAAATAATAACAGTGGCTGATAAGGGAACTAAGAATCACAGTTTTTACCCTGTCATAAACATTAATTTACACATTGGCACTCTTATGAGATCCTTGTTCAATGAATGGACGGACAAATATTGCAACCATCTTGATTTTCTTGCTATAAATGAAATGAGAAGGCAAAAAAAAGTTGCAGATAAATAGGAAGTTCACAAGTTTTCCATGGAAAGGAAAATAAAGGAGTTGGTGGAGTTGGCTTTATCACGCATCTAAAGGCAACAAGAAATATCATTTCCTAAGACATTTAGTTATCTCATGTTTGCAAAAAGACCACTATGAAAATGATGGTAGCTTCCATTCCCATCTCTGTTACAGAAGATGATAAGAGAAAGTCTACTCATCAATCAATCAACAAGTATTTAAGAGACTAGGATGGGGGCTAGGTTCTAAGGATAGAAAGACAAAGGGGTTAACAGTTCCTACCCTCCAGAAGCTTGCATTATAACATGGGAGACAAGGAAAACAAAACAGACACAAGGTAACCTTGGAGGGAAGGCACTAGCACTTCAAAGTACCAGGAAAGGATTCAACTAAAGTGCTACTTTAGTTAAGTCTTGAAAGAAACCAAGGATTCCAAGAAGTGGAGGTGAAGAGGAGGAACATTTCAGGCATGGCCAACAACCAGGCTAAAGAAGAACTCAGTAAGACCAACTCTCCAATTAAATCAAAATACATTTTGCTACCTGATGACGTCAATGCATATATGTAGGAAAGGATGACAAAAATGTGTTGGAAAATTTGGTTTAAGGGTGAGAAGACAGGCCAAAGGCCTCTGGACTACACAGAAGCCTCACCCATACTTACCATTAACCCTTTCAGGAAAATAAGTAAAAGAGCTAACTAATGAACAGCTGTCAGGCTCCACTGATATCCACATATTGTAGGCAGCATATGGATGAGTCATACAAGATGTATAGGCAGGGAAGGGTTGTGATCTACACTGCTGGAGGGAGTAGTGACATGGAGAAGATCACAAATCCATTGGGATACTAGCAGAACAGACCCACTTTTCCTTTGGTCAGCAAAAGAGCTCTGATGAAAACAGACTGAATAACTTTGAAAAGCATTCCATCTATCAACTACCATTTGCTAAGCCTTCTATTAGG